GGACTGGATCACCAGCCGGGCCTGGCCCCCTCGCACCTGGAGCCACCACCCTCCCTGGAGGAAGCTTCCCGGGGTCTCCTCGCTGAAGATGGTCCTGGTCTTGCCGTGGGCGCTCAGCTGGACGGTGATGTGGGTGAAGGCGTTGGAGCTGTTGCAGGCCAGCACGGCCCGCCCACCCCTGGACACGGACACCACACCCTCCGTGCAGGCAGGCCTGTCCCACCCTGTGGGGGGATGGTCACCTCAAGGGCAGGCCCTGGACAGGGGCTGGCTGCTCTCCTGGGGGCCTCCAAGGACACAGTGAGCTTTATTTGCCTGATCAGACTGCAGCAGCAGCACACAGCTCCCGTGTAGCAGGAGCAGAATCGGTGCGTGGAGAGGGCTGGTGTGACCAGGCTGGGAGCCCCTGCACCTGTCCCCTTGGGCCAAGCCAGCTGGTCTGCAGAACATTCCCGCTGTCCCCTTCCCCCGTGTGTCCCATCAGGAGGGTGTGGGGTATGAGGTGGGTGTATGCGTCCTGGGGGACCTGGCCCTGAATTCCTGCTGTCCTGGGTTGGCCACCAGTGACCATGACACTGGTGTCATTAAAGCTGCTCTGGGATGTCCCTGAGTGACTTAAGCGAGCCCCAGAGCTGGAGAGCTGTGTTGGGGAAATCTCTGGGACCCTGTCCACTGCAGACCGGCTTCTGGCCACCTGAGTCTCTGGTCCTTGAAGGCCCAGTAGGTGCAGACGCTGCTGGGCAGGGCTGGGTCTGCGACTGGGATGGCAGTGGCCCTCAGTCCTGTGGAGCCGCACCTTCCCTGGCCCAGGCCCGGGCCCCCACTCCCGGGTTCCCCTCCCCTTAGAACTGGACCTGGTCTTGCGTATCCCCCTCACAGGGCTCTGACAGTGACCGCCAGCCACTGCTGGGGACGCCTGTCATCTGCCATCCTTGGAGCATGTGGCCTGCCCTTCCTACCCGGGACACCGGCCCTGCTTCTCTCTGATGGCACCTGGGTGTGCAGGGTCCTGGCCACGTCCTGAGGCCTGGGTCTCCCATCCCCCCTTCCTGGTCCCCTAGGCCCTCCCTCTGCAGAGAGGGGGGACCCCGAGACCTACTTCCATTCTGAGTACTCAGGGCGGTGGTCAGGAGCAGGAGGGCCCCAAGCATCCTGAGGACCAGGCTGTGAGGCGTCAAGGGGCAGGTGTGCATGGCTGCTGGTTGGCAGAGGCCTCCGGGGTCCCTTGTCCTTGTCCTGTAGACACTGGAGGAAGAAAGCACAGGGATCAGAGGCCATGGGCTGCTGCAGAGGCTGATGGGAGCAGCACAGCCTGGCAGGGCCTGACACCCCAGGTCCCTGAGTCATCCCGACCAGCTGTGCTTGTGATGCCCATGCCTCTGCTGGACCCTCGGCCCTCAATGCCCGACCTTGGATCCTGTCCCTGTGCTCCAGGCAGTGTGAGGTGCTGGCAGTGAGAATCCACGGGGAGGTGGCAGAGCCTCTGCCCTTCGGGTCCTGCCGCCCAGCTGTCCTCAGTGTGCTCTTCCTATGAGCTCTGTGCCAAATTAGCAAAACTGCCTGGATGGCCTCCCTGGAGGGTCCAGCCCAGGACACCTGCACCCTCCAGCCCTGACACTGCTCTGACCTCTGTTCTCTACCCAGTGGTCTCTTTGGCCAAGGAGGCTGCTGGCTTTAGGACTCCTCCTGGATATTGTAGCACTGGCCACCTTGCCTTGTGATAGCAAGGTCCTGGGCAGAGCACCTTCTCTGTGACCTGGAGACTGAGGTTTTACTTGGTCTGAAACAGCAACAAGTCGAGTCTCAGGTTGCTCCCCAGTATGTTTGGGCCGGATGGTGAGTGTGGAATTTGCTGTAATTAGTTTGACCGGCTAAAGGTTGTGGGTTTTTTTTTTCCTGGTTAAAAGCATTTTTTCCAGTTAAAAGTATTTATCAGTCACTTGGCCATTTGTTGAGACTTGGGTATTTTTTCAATTAAGAAGCTTTTTTATTTTTTATCTTATTTATTTATTTATTTATTTTTGGGAGCAGAAATCGAACTCAGGACTTTGCCAGGCAGGCACCATTCTACTGAGCTATACCCGCCAGCCTCAAACTTTTTCTTTTTGTTTTTAGGCCATTTCACATTCATAGAAATATTGATGGGAAAGTACAGATGGCTCCCACACATCTCTCAGCTGACCTGGAATGAGATTTTCCCTGTTAGGTGTATTTTATAGGAGCTCGCATGGTGTAGATTGCTACAGCTTGTCCTGTCACCCAGAGCCTGTGCCCTCGGGGCTCATTCTAGGCTTGGAGGCCTGTAAGGCATGGGGCGCACTGCCATGTTCACCCCCACCCAGGTCTTCTCTCTCACCCTCCTTTCCATTGCCCCTCACTCTCTCCACAGCTGCCCTTCTAGAATGTCACATAACTGGGACAGTTTAATTTCAGCTGATTGTTGTTTTTTGTTCTGTTTCTTGAGACAAGGTCTGGCTACGTAGTTCAGACTGGTCTTTTTTTTTTTTTTCCTTTTTGAGACAGGATTTCACAATGTAGTACAGGCTGGCTTTGAACTCACTTTGTAGCCCTGGCTGGCCTCGAACTGGCAGTAATCCTCCTGCCTCAGCCTTCCAAGTGCTGGGATTACAGGCATGTGCCACCATGCCTGTTTTGAATCTTGTTTTTATTTCAATTTTATGGGCTCAGGTGGAGGGCTGGGGCAGCAGAATTTCACAGACTTTCTAGAGCTTGAGGGCAAGGGCCTCCAGGCAGGTGCTGTACAGGGGGCAAGTGGGGCTAGGGGAAGCACTCTTACCCCTTTGAGGGTTGCGGGTAGGGCACCTCCTACCCTTGGGTCCCTGGGCACCCAAGCCTGTTGCTGTCCATCTTCTCTGCTCCCACCTAGTGGAGACAGGGGAGTCTCGAGTGAGGGAGGAGGCCAGGGCCCACACAGGCTTCCAGGCCAGTTTAGACAGCAGGGACAGGTGGGAGCCAGAGTCTAACACAGCTGGTGTGCTTGTCTCTTGATTGTGTGAAGACCTCTCCCTGTCTCTACCTCACTGCCAGGAGGGTGGCTTTTTTGTCATTAAATGTATCCCACACGTTCCTTGTAAAAGAACCAGCAAGAGAGAAAAGTGGGAGGAAGGAGATGCCCAGGTAGAGCCAGGGCACACTCTGTCATGACCTTTTTTGGGCTGCACATTGCATTTGCCAACCCTTTTTCCATTTTTCTTAGGAATTTTCTCTCTTCTTATCTGAGACCTTTATGTGTTAAAGAAGCACATTTTGCGGCGGGGAGTGGGGGGGTGGTGGGCTTGTTTGTCCCCCAGTCTTTCATTGCTCCTGTTTTCTGGAACAAAAAGACTGTAAATATTAATGTCTGCATCTATGTTTTCCTTTAATGTTTCAAAGTTTTGTTTTAAAGTGTTGTTTGTTTAAAAAGTATCCTTAAAAAAAAAAGGCCTCGAGGCCAGATGTGCTGGCCCACATCTATAATTCTAGCGCAGGGGAAGCTGAGGAGGAAGGATTGTAAGCTTGAGGTCACTTGGGCAACTCAGTGACTTATAGAGGCCCTGTCTCAAAAATAACAAATGAACAAAAGGCCTGGCAGGTCCTGCAGAGCCTGTGGGTTGTCCAGTGTTTGAATCCACCCGACAGTCATTCTGTAAACAGGGAGCAAATGAGTTGCGGTACCATTAAGTGGAATTCCCGTCCCCAGTGCCACCCCTTCCTTGGAGCCCTGCTGGCAGCCATCTCTCAGCTGTCCTCCAGCTGATGCTAGGGCCACAGTTTTGGGAGTGGCTTTGTCATCATCCTGATACCTGGCCAGGCAGGTGGCCTGCTAGCTCTTCATCTTCCCTTAGATCTGATTTCTTTTTGTCTTTTTGAGACAGGGTCTGGCTAAGCAGTTGTTATGGTTTATGTCTGTGTGTCCCCCCAGTGCCTCACGCCGACATGGGGCAGGCTATTAAAGTTGAATGATTGTGGGTGTGAGAGTTATACCCGCCCTGGGGTGGATAGTTTGCATATGTAAGGGAGAGGAAGAAGCTGCTTGAGGGCATTCCTCCCGCATTCCGCCCCGGTGTGAGTTAATTGTTGCTTTTGCTGTGCTGCCACCCTGAGATGCAGCCCTCTGCAATGTGCCACTCTGCCTTATAATCATGCCTAGTATGGATTGAAACCTCCACAAACTGTAAGCGAAATAAACCTTTCCTTCCTTAATTTTGGGCGTGAGGTATTTTGTCCCAGCAGCGAGAAAAAAGTAACCAAGACAGCAGTTCAGGCTGGACTTGAGCTCACTTTACAGCCCTGGCTGGTCTCAAACTCACAATGATCCTCCTGCCTCAGCCTCCCAAGTTCTGGGATTACAAGTGTGTGCCACCACACCCAGTTTAGAGCTGATTTCTGACTAGAACATTAACATTATTCTGGACCACCCTTTCTTGGAAACAGGAGCTTTGTGAGCTGCCCAAACCAGCCCAAATCAGTCTGAACTACACAGAGGCAGCAGGCAGCCTTACCCTTCCTGCCTCTGCACATCAGCCTGTTGGCCATTGCCCAGATCAGTTAAACAGCTCAGGGTTCTGTGCCACTGGGAACCTTCTTGGTTCTGGAAAGAGGCATGGCAATTCCTCCACAGGCTGCAGCTTGGTAAGATCTGCTCCACACAGATCTTATCCTTATGATACTTTTGCAGAACATTTTTCCTATATTGGAAGGTTCTGCCAGAACTTTCAACATGTCCTCCACCAGCCTTACTGCCATGGACAGGGATCAGTCCCCTACCTCTCCTTCCTGCTGCCCCCACACCTGGCCTGCTCCTGTACCAGGAAAGAAGTGGGCCCTGCCTGGGGCACTCTGCTACCCAGCTCCCTTAGGGGCTGGAACCTCGACCAGACCTACTGTGCTTTCAGTCTTCTCTCCCTGCTCAGGCACAGCCTCACGCCTGCACATTGGCAGCAGGAGGGGGACAGCACAGGGCCATGGGCATGGCTGCAGGGTGTGCCCCAAAGGCTCGGGCTCAGCCACGCAGGCTCCCCCAGGTCTTGGTGGGACTCCTTCGCAGGCCCTGCCTCTGCTCCCTGGGGGGCTCTTATGATTCCATCATCTGACTCTGGGGCTGGAGCCAGGACCAAGCTGGAGTTGGGAGCTGGGCGGTGTGGCCAGCGAGGGCCCGTCAGGAGCGGCAGTGAGCTCAGAGCCCGCAGCCCCACTGGAAGCACAGGGAACTGGTGGCAGAACAGGGTCTGGAGCTGAGGGGCAGAAGCGGGGCCGACTCACCAGGCAGGGGACGCAGCTCTGCTATCACCACCATCTCTGACCAAATGCCCCTCCTAACAGGCTCCCGAGCTCTCAGAGCTGTTCTGTAGGAGCAGCTCACAAATCTCTGTACGTGACTGCCCCTGATGACCTCAGTATGTGATGTCAAAGCCACCCAGGGCCCTATCCACAGAGTCCAGGACAAGAAGGCTTCTCATGAGAGCAAATACACCAGTGACACTATGAGTGTACACATGCTTGTGCATGCATGTGGGTGCGCACAGATCTGTTCGAACAGTGTGAAGAGTCCAGGAACACAGCACCCCCCCTGGAGAGGTCAGGGGCAGCTCCATCCTATCCTGGGGACACCACAGTGCCGCCTGTGCCCCTCCCAGAGCTCAGATGAGGCCCCGAAAGAGATGCAGGTCTCTTGGCCACCACACCCGGACCACCTGCCCCACGCCCCTGCCCATGCTGTGCCTGGCTAGCCTCTCTGGACCTGCCTTGCTCCCTGCTCATCTCTGAGGCAACAGGTGGTGGGGGCTGAGGGCCCCAGAGGTGCCACAGCCAGGGACCCTGCGTGTCACCCTCTCAAAGTCCCCAACCCCTGGAGCACCTGGTCCCCTGAGTCCTCGCCTCCTGCCCTCCCAGCCACTCACCTGCTCCCTGCTCCCGCAGAACCTCCAACTCCTCCAAGGCCTTCAGCTTCTGAGCCTGTCAGCCAGAGGAAAACTGAGGGAGGGACTGCAGGGGGAGGGGCTGGGAGGAGGAGGGCAGGGCTGTTCTGGCCCGGGGAGGAAGTGCTTCTGGGAAGAGCAGCAGTTTCAGGAATCTGCCTGTGTGCACAGAAGGCGCCAGGAGTTTCCTGAGGCTGCCTGTGTATGCTAAGGTGTTTCTGTTAGAAGCTGTCAGCAGCTGCTCACAGAAAGAAGGCAGGCAGATGTCCAGGAGAGCAGGGCAGGGCTGGTCCTTGGTCGAGGGCCCAAGGAAAGTCCACTTCCCTCAGGGATCAGGGCCAGCTGGACTGACCATGTGCTGCGGACAGGCAGAGCGAGGCAAGCATTGTGGCTGCCCGCACCCCTCCCTGTGCCCAGGCTGAGCTGTGGGGAGGGTGGCAGCACTGGGTGTGGGGCAGGGACACAGAACAGGGGTGGGCAGGGGGCAGCAGATGACGTGAGAGTCCCGGTGCCCTGCTGCCCCTGTCCTGCTCTGCTCCCTCCCCACTAGGGTAGAACCCAGAGCTGTCCAGACTACAGGAATGAGCGTGGGGTCCAGCTGCCCAAAAAGCCTGACAATGGCCCAGGAACCTAGCCTGCTCCAGGAAGCCGCAGCATGGGCTTCAGGGTGACAGCATTTCTCCTCTGCAGGCTGTGGGATGCTGCCACCAGGAGGCCCTCAGCCCACACGCTGCAGGGGAGGAGAGGCCAGGGCAGCAAAGATGCCCTTGGGGCGTGGGCAGACCACCCTCCCTGCCTGTGCCTCCTGCATCAACAGTGGATTGAACCCAGGGCCTCATGTGTGCTAAGCAAGGGGAGAACCCGGCTTTTGATAGTCAGTCCCTGCCCCCAAATTGTGCACATTTCTCAGTAGCACCTTTGGAGAGCCTGTGGAGGAAGTCCCAAGCCCCTCAGCTTCTGGGCAGGACCCTGGGGCTGTGCCCAGTGCTGGACGCTGCATTAGGAGGAACCACTGTCCCCTGGGTGTGGTGGGAGAGAGCCAGTGCTCCGTCCAGAGCACTGGCTCGTTTCATGCGTACCATTGTAGTTAGGGATTGCAAGGGAATAGATTTAATACAGGACATATAATTTACAGGATCATAATATTCACCCAAAAAGTCAAATGTGGAAGAGTACAGGAAATTTGTCCACACATTAGAGACTCAAAGAATCCAGCTGACAGCCTGGATCCCATGGCAATGTCCTGCATGAGTCCAGCTAAAGACCCAGAGCACTTGGCAATGTCCTCCATGAGTCCAGCTGGAGGCCTAGAGCCCACAACAATGTCTCGTGCAAGTCTGTACCAAGGACCTGCCCTGGGAAGGCAGGGCAGCTTTGCCCAAAGGTCAGTGGTGGAAGCTAGAAAGTCTGTGCCAGTGGGATGAATGATCTGTGCCAGTAGGCTGAGGGATCTGCACTGGAGCCAGAAAGCAATGCTCAAGGTAAGAACCAGAGCTCCCCTGAAAAGTACCACAACCATCCTCAGCAACAGTGAGGTCCCAAGCCCCTCCAACGATAAGAACAGCTGAATCCATATCAGGAAAACCAACATGACAAGCTTCTCCAGGAGAATCAATAGCACACCATCTTCCCTTCCAGTTCTCTTTTTATGCTGTGGGCAACAGTCCTCAGGTGGGCCTTCCACACCCAGCAGTATGCTCAGTTTACCTGGGTGTTACAAGTTGACCGTTAGGTCATCTACCACACCTACATCTTCTTTTTGTTACTGACACCCTTTCCTTTCTGGGGACAGGCCAACCAATAGCTGTATGGTGTCACTTTCCTGAGTGGCAGGGCTGTGGGTGGGAAGGAGGCCACTGAGGAGCAGAAGGGCACAGGCTGGGTGTTCTGTCGCAGACGCCTGCTTGGGTGATGGAGACCACTCTGAAGCAGCCCTGAGCAGGACTTAAGTAAACCAACAGGCTTTTCATATGAGTCTGTCCAAGGCCTAGGCTCCTTGTCTGAAGATGGGTGACGGACGCATAGGAAGTGAACCTTTGTGAGTCACTAATCCCGCCTAAAACCTGTAATGGTGGATGAAGCTGGAAAGCCTCAAAGGATACAATCACAGCCAAGGACACCTGGATCCAGTCTCAACTAGATAAAGACTACAGCTTCAGGCATCTCACTCCTGGGTGGATTAATTTAATCCTTATTAAGGATTTAGTTAATACCTTACTTGGAGAAGTCCTTGAGTGATCCTGCCCTTCTTGAGTACTCCCCACCCTTCTTCTAATAACCAAATAAATATGGGCCACCCAGAGAAGGTTTTGCTTTTAGTGCTGAGAGAATCTCAGATTCTATGAGAGGGTTTTGTTCCTCCTGGAGCCCTGAAATCATTCCACTTACCTCTTTTTATTTAGCCTTCACCATACACTTGTTTGGGAGATTGCAGACCTGATCAGCCCACAATATCTAAGGGATATTATTAACCCAATACTTGGGGGTGACTTTAGATAGTAGGACACTCTCTGCCCCTTCCTGTGAAATGGTTTCTGCTGGATTTTTTTTTTTTTTTCGGTCTTTTTGAGACAAGGTCTCACTATGCAATTCAGGCTGGCCTTGAGCTCACTTTGTAGCCCAGCCTGGTCTTGAACTCACAATGACCCTCCTGCCTCAGCCTCCCGAGTGCTGGAATTACAGGCATGCACCACCATGCCCGGCCTGGCTGTTTGTAAAATACAAGTAAAGGGAAAATAAAAACCACCTGTGAGGAGCTCTGGAGGGAGCTTGGAGGCCTCTGGCAGTTTTTCCTCACAGAGTTGGTGATACCCTGTGGGCTGGTGGCCTCTGCATGGCCTGAGGGTGTCACAGGCTTCTCTGAGATGCTGGCTGGGGTATTGGCCAGCCAGTCCTTACACGGCTTCAGGTATCCTCTACCCCTCTTTCTGCACCTCACTGTATGGCCTGGTCTCCCAGACCCTTGCCTTTGTTCTGGCCCCTTTGAACTCAGTGGGCATCCTGCTGCTAAGGGCCCAGGGATACACACCACTCTCCACATGGTGGCAAGTTGGATGTGGAGGCAGGGGAAGGACCCTACCAAGAGTGGGAGTCTGGGCATGGTTAGGCTTGTTCCTGAGCCAACCTGGCCTTTCCCGGGGTCCAGGCAATGGCAGCAGGAGGCTAAGACAGGATTGCTCTCCCCTGCTCAGGGGAACCTAGTCTTCAGCCCCCCATGGCTCTGGCCACCCACCCCCCAGCCATGGGCTAGCCCCCCTGGGTGCCCAGAAGACAGGGGCCAGGGTGTGGCTCTCAGATGCACTCCTTCCAAAGCGCTCGTCCTGCAAGCCGGCCAGGCTTCCTTGCCTGGCTTTTCTTTTTTTTTTTTTGGTTTTTCTCCGGTACTGGGAACCGAACTCACGACCTTGCGCTTGCCAGGCAGGCGCTTTTGCCGCTGAGCTAAATCCCCAGCCCCTGCCTGGCTTTTCTTTGGCAGCGTGTGCACAGCCATGTCCTCAGGTTGTACCGGTTTGCAGAATCGATTCTTCCCTAACAACTCGGATTCTTCCAGCTCATTTTCTTTAGCAGACACTGACTAAGGGCCGAGTGAGAGCCCTGAACAGCAAAGGCAGGGGTGCTCCACATCCTAGTGGGTCCAGCCATCCTGAGCCTCAGAGTCTCCACCAGCCCTGCACCGGGGGCTCCAGAGGCTGGCAGCAGTGTGAGGGACGCAGTGTGTCTGACGCCTGACTGGATGGTCTGTGCCTTCAGGGCAGCTGTCCTGTGCGCCCTCTCCAGCCTGTGCTTGCCTGGCCGCCAGCCTCCTCCTGCGAGGAACCCAGTGGAAGGCAGCTGTCCTGCCACCCATAGGGTGTGGCTCCTTTTGTTCTGAGGACCTTGCTGAAGAACTCCCCAGCCCTCATGGGAAAGGAAGGAGGGTCCCAAGCGGCCTGAGAATTAGTCAAAGTCCTGTCGCTACAGAAGGGGAAGCCAGGATGCGCACCTTCTGCCCCTTGTCTGTTTCCAGACAGGGCACCCTCCAGGTACCCCCACCGTCATGCCCGAGCTACTGCTAGAGCCGTGTGCCATGCCAGGCAGTGTAAAGAAGCATTTTGGGAATATCAGAATGAGGACCTGAGTCTGCCCCAGGAACCCCTTCACAGAATGGTAACCCAGTGATCTTGTAGGGGACAGCAACTCTCAGCATATCATTTTTAAGATAGAATAGTTTTTGTCTTAGTACAAGCCTCAAAATGTATCTTGAGAAACCCATGGAATGCTTCTCCAAAGACAAAAAACTCCACCACCCATGACTCTGCCTGGGTTGTTTCATCCCTGGCCCTAGTTAAACATTGTAGCCATAAAGGAATGTATGGTTGTAAAAAGAGAAACAAACAAAACAGAGTGCAAAAAATATCTGTCATAATGGTTGGGCTCATGACCAGGGCCTGATCGGGCCACAGGTAACAAGTAAAACAATATGTGACCACCTGAGTCAGTGGCTATAACATTCCATTCTGTTACCATAAAAACCAAAAAAATATTTAAAGTTAAAACAAGACAAGGACAGCGCTACCATTTCCCGACCTGCTAGTCGGTGATATACGGTGACTGGTGTAAATTCAATAAACTGTTTACCCTAGAATTACATCCTTTGGTCTTCTGTGGAAATCAGCCTGTCTGCCATTACAATCTCTGGGGTCAGAGATCTGGGCTGGAGTCAGAGAAGTGGGCACCACAGCTGGGTGCCAGGATGTCTCCAGACCTTTCAGCTGCCACTGGGGTCCTGCCAGTCATTGCCCCGTTTGCCTGCAAAGTGTCACCCAGATTTCTGAGGCCAGGCAGAATTGTACGATTGGGAAAAATAACTTTATTTTTAAATGGAGGAAAAATAGCTAGAGGAAAAAAAGCAAGGGCAGTTTGCCCCCTACCCTACCCCACAACCTTGCTCCCATTTTGGCTGGAAACATAAAAAATGAATTGGGTGTGTATAAGGTGGTCCTCCTGCCCTGAACCCCTTGGGCAAGTTCTTCAAAGAAGCTGCAGCCAATCAGCTGAGAGTTCTTCTGCTCC